GAAATTAAATACGGAAATAAAATGGAAAAAAAAATGATAGAAAAATAGAATATTTTATTGGGTATGATCTATTCATAATTTTCTTTTAAGAGCAACAAGTGAATTATCTAATAATATAAATTAAAGTTCTCTAATTTTGTTTAAAATTGAGAGACCTTACAAGTATTATACTAATATCATTACATGATGTCAACACTTAACATTTTCTTTTTTATTTTTGGTGAGTTCATTTAACCAATTACTTCTAGACAAGTCAATAAATTCAAACTCTAAAAACAAATTAGGTGAATGAACTCCTTCTTTTTCCCCCCTCACCTGGTTTCAAACTTTAATCTAGGTCATGAATCTGTAATATGCAACAAAATTACTATAAGAAATTTTAGCCTCGAAACAAAATCTATGACTATTCAAGAATGTGGTATATATTGTGATTTCGTCTTGACACTTATTTATATGTTTTTGTATTTTAACATTCTGCAAATTACCCTTCAACAGTTTTAACTACTAACACGGCCAATTACTTGTATTTAGTGTAAATTTGAATTTGTGTCAAAATTCTATAAATATGAGACACGTCCAAGTTGATTTTGTCGTAGAAACGTCAAATGTGGACGTATTAACCTCGTAAAAAAAGTGCTTAAAGAATAAAAAATGAGCTGCTTCTCTAATCCGCCAATGTCATTATAGGAGTATTCATCAACCTCCATAGCCTTAACTCTAGAATCATACCAGAAGGCAGGGTATCAAAGATTAAGTAACTATCCTTATTAACACCAATCAGATCCCCAGCCAACCACAGGAAGAAAGATTGTCTACTATATGCCATCTTTTAACAATATTAGTATTTTAGCCCGTGAATATTTATTATATATAACTAAAATTTATATTAAAAATACATGTATAATTAAATATTATATTTAAATGTGTAAATTATATTTTAAATTTATAAATAAATATTATTTATATACATAAATTATATTTTAGATTTATGATGTGATATAATAATATTTTTTAATTATATAAGAATTTAATTTATAAATAAATATAATAAATAAAGTTTGAAATAGGTAGGAGATGAAAAGAATTGATTTCTCTATATATGAAATAGGTAGGAGAATTTAATTTAGATCTATGTAGTTTGTATTTAATATATATATGAAGTGATTTATTTCACTATTAGAATTTCTCGTATTACATGCGATTTTTCCTGTTTCTACAAATTTTTCTGTGAAAATTTATCTGCAGTTAATATCTTCGTGGATAATATGTTTTTGCAAATTTTAAAATTCGCAAGAAATTTTCCTACAAAAAAAATTCGCTGGAAAGTTTCCTGCAAAAAAAAAATTGCAGGAAAGTTTCCTAAAAAAAAAATTTGCAAGAAAGTTTCCTGTAAATTTTTTCCTAAGAAATTCTGTAGAAATATTTTTTATAAAAAAATTAAAAAAACTACTATAAATTCTATCAATAATTCTTCAACTTTCAAATGTTCACAATAAATTCATTCGAAATATTTATTTCCACGCCTCCAACATGAGATACATAATATTTTAAATTATAAGATCATAGATTATAAGCTTAACACTCAACCATACAAATCAACTTGCAAGGTAAGTGTTGTCCCAACTTATATACTCTTTAATTGTTTTATTTTCAATCGATGTGGGACTTGATGTTTTTTTTAAAATATTAAACTTATAAATTTAAATATTTTTTTATTTTTCCTGCAAATTAAAATTGGCAGGAAAATCTGCAGGAAAAGTTACCTGCAAAATTTTTCTACCATTTAATAAACATTACTTGAGAATTTATTTTTGCAAGAAAATCTGCAAGAAACAAAATAAAATTCTTATAATATTTTCTGCAAAGTTTTACCAAGAAAAAAAATTTCTATGATCATTAAAATTGTAGCAAAATTTGCAAAAATTTCTTGTAGATTATTTTTCATAAAAAAATTTGTAAGAAACATCTGTAAATTAT